TGTGAAAACCACAAATTTCGAGCGGTAGTTATCACAAGCATTTGCTATGTTGTAAATAACTGAGAAAAGCACTGAATGTAAGGCACATTAAATGATGCTCGTAGTGGCATGGTTTGTTTGTTTCATAAATCTTAATTGCTTGAGAAGGCAATTACTGGAAGTATGTGTTAACTCGTCGTTAATTATGCTTTACAATTTTTTAGGTAAATAGTTAAGTACAGTGTGCTGACGTTTTGTTGATTGTATGCAACCTCACCAAATTTATTGGGAGAAGTATTCGAGTCAATGGCTGAATCATTATTCCAGCTGTATAAGGATTATAGATCAGTGTTTTAGTTACTACTCGCCATTGATAAGGACTAGATTCACTGATAGCCATGAGGTTTTTGTTTTGTCATTTAATCACTTTTGTTTGGAATTTTGAAAATTTTTAACTCGTAATAAACCAGTTAGTTCTTTTCAGTCAAAGCTTTTTTCTTGCATTTAATGTCGTAATTGCTTCTGTCGTCTGTTTGCGTCTATTGCTGGACTTTTTGATTTATTAAAAACTTTGGAGAAATGAGAAATGTAAGGAGCAAAAAGATGAAAATAGAGAGAAGATCCAGCAATAGATAGACGAAAAGAAAAGAAGTGAAAAGGGATAAGTTATTATCCGCTTGGTACTGTTTTATTACTGTGTTAAATCTAATGCTTCGATTATAGCTTTTCTTTTATTATCAAATGGCTCACTAATTTCTCTTATATTCTGTCATTTCGCTGGTCCGCAGATTTGTGAAATGATAATTTTTACTCAGATATTCTCTACTTTCAAATCTTTGTCTTTGATCACTGACTACTTCCTACTCTTATTCTCAATTCAGAATCGGTAGGAGAATGTTTGGTGTCGGAGCGAAATTTGAAATAAATTGTGAGGTCAGCGAGGTAATTGAAATAAATTATCAATTCAGTGCATCAACACAGTTATAGCGATGTAAAATTGCTTAGTGATTCATTGAAGTTGGTGATTTTTGAATTTTATAGAGAGTGGTGGTAAATGATGATGCTTTTTTTTCATATGTTCCTCGGAACAGATTTGAGAATAGTCATTTGTCGAAATATTTGTTCATTATTTGAGATGCACACAAATAAATGGAAATGTGGATCAGATCAGAAGGACATATGCTATCCGCCAAATCTATTTGAGTAATCTTTCGTTGACGACAGTTTTCATTAATTGATCTATTGACTTTCCTGCTAGTCTCTATGCTATTACTTTTGTGAGGTCAGCGAGGTAATTGAAATAAATTATCACTTCAGTGCATCAACACAGTTATAGCGATGATGTAAAATTGCTTAGTGATTCATTGAAGTTGGTGACTTTTGAATTTCTATCTTGTTTTGAATGATTAGTCTTTAGTGGGCAACAATTCCCCTGATTTCTTGAATAGTATAATGCTAGAAAATATCGTAGCTTATTTATATGATTATCATTGGTGTGTAACAGGTTCAGCAGAGGTGAATGAACAAAAGTTATCAACACCACAAATCTATCTACTTTTCCCAACACCATGTATTTCGAGTGCACGCATTCATTTTGCAAGATTTCTGATATGATAATGATTCTTTGTGACCCAAATATTTGTAAAGTAAAAGTTTACATGATCCTCCAATCATCATTTTATCGCTCATTATCAAACTAATTTTTCGTGACAAATTTTTTATGCGTTAAGTCACATTTCCTGTGATTACACAAATCTATAAGATCGTTAGATAAAGATCTGAAAATTTCCCACCATTTTCTGACTTTGCTTAGAGATGAAAAAATTAGGGACAATCATTCACCACAATCAATTGAAAATTTGTATTTTTATTATATACTTATGACTTCTATTACATGAAACATACAGTCATTATATTGTATAATCCGATCAAATTAGGTTTTAAAGATAACAACAGCAGCTGTATACTTCAATAAATTTGATTATTTATGTAGCATCTTTTTTTGCAGGTGATGCGAGCAGAGGTTAACAATTATCTGACTAAAACTTAATTAACTCAAATATATAAATAGTCCACTTCTAATTTTTTAGTGAATTAGTTAGTATAAACTAAATGGAAGAATCGCAAGTCTTTGTCATTGCTGTGATTTCTAAATCCTGTTTATCTTCTATAGTGATGTATCAGCAAAGAAAAATTTTATTGCAAATCATATTCAGTCATTTCTTTATTGTGTTATTGTGGCGATTGATATGCCTGCGGCAACTGCTCAGGTGAATTTTTAGTTAAGTGAGATAATTTCTGTACCAGTGATAGATCAGATGAATAAATTGGACATATGCGAGAGATAACTAATTCTACCTCCATAATCTCAAACTTTTGATGTAAGAATGAAGAAAGAGTTCAGAAAGTAGGGCATCAATTCATTTTTGTTTTCCATTTTGCAGCTTTAATTTCAGTCTTAAAATTATTCATTTCTTTCGCTTTTACATGAACTCTTGTTGTTATTCTTTCGAGATCGGTGCAGGTTATAAAATGCACTAAATGATAATTGAGTAGAAACTAACTACGAGTTCCTAATTTTTTAATTGTAGTTGGTTGTCTTCAGATATCAATTTCAGTAAATTTATAAGATTAAATTTTGATCCATAAAGGCACAGATGAATTAATTTTTTCATTCGACTCATTTCTGAGCGATTAATGTGAGTAAATAAAGCAGACTGAGAGCAAAATTTACAAGGTAAAAAGAATGATGGTTGTCTTCAGCGTTCACAATCTACATTTGTAGATTTCAGAAATAAAATAAGTTATGTTTGCTTACGATTATGAATCCAGCTATTATGTGATTATAAACTTCAATAAAGATCATCAAGTAGAAGATGATTTTGCAAATGCAGTCTGCAAACTTGTTAATCTTTTTATATGGTATTTATTTGCCATGTGCAAATTGTGATAGATTTTCTGTCTACAGCCTCAATGATGTTATTTTCTGCAAGAAGCTTGCTTTGACAACATAAAATACAGCTACCAATTTGTGTTTAATTTTGTAATAATGTGACTGCAAGTAGTAAAATGAAGAACAAGAGACAATTAATTGATAGCAAATTTTATTACCTAATTTATTTTCGATTTATTATTTGAAAAGCATTGCAAGATTAATTGTCATCGTACCAAAAATTTTTCATTCTGATGTTTGGAATGATACTTAGCGGCAAAATAGAAAGCAACGATACTATTGAAGTCATTCATTACGGAAATTTCGTCCTAAACAATAACTACTTGATCGCATCTACTATATATCATACACTCGATGAGGAAAATTAATAATCTGTGAACAGGAAATAATTCCCAAAATTTTTTTGGCAGCCAAAAATTAAAGAAGAATTAATGTTGAATGTATGGAATATTAGTTTGGTTTTTACACTGCGAACTAAGTAACTAAATTTACTCGATTTGAAATAGTAAGAAGAAGTATTATGAGAAGCAAAGATGCGGTTATAAAGAAGGGAGCGATTTGATGTGGCGATGCGATGTACGCGTGGCAGACGGATGTTGTGGAGGGCACTTGCCTTGTAATTGTAATGTGCATGGGAGGGGATGAGATGAGAGAGGAGAGGAGGAGAACCGGTTGTGTCTGGTCAGGTTGCTTGGTGCACCGCAATGCCCTTCCTTACTTCCTCGTATTACCACGGCAGTGTTTCGGTTTATTCTTTCATATTGGAAAGTATGCAGTCTTCTCCTCTCTTTACTACTACTTTTATCAAGTGTATTAATTTTTATTCTCTTTTGCATTATTTTTGTGCTTTCGCAAATTAGACATTTTCAAATTCTAAACAGAGTAATATTTGAAAAACTTTTTGCAAATTCATTTTCTTGCAGTGTATAAAATTTACTTTCGCAAAATGAACTCTAAAACTGAGTAATAACAACGATCGTTTTTTCATTTTAGATCTGATACTAACATATAATGTAAGTTAGATTATTGCATATTCATATTTCGTTATTTTTATCCATGTATGCTGTTTCAAATGTTATATTTGAAACATTATTGTTGAATACAACTGAATTTTTTTGCACCGTACAGTGCATTATTATGCGTAGTCTCAGCTGTCTAACAGATCATTTTCAATAATATTTAACGAAATTAACTTGTTAGAGCACTT